CAGCTGCGTGACCGTGGCTCCAAGTTCGCCCCAGAGCCCAGCTCCTCACACGCTGCTCTGCTCCAGGGAGCACCAGGGACGCCTGGCAAGGGGGCAGCACACCAGGCCCTGCCCTCCCCCAGTCCCCTGCCCTGGCCTCCCCCAGGCCTCTTCCCTCCTCGCTGGACAATTCCCACAGAATCCGTCCCTCCCACTGCCGGGAGCCCCAGCCCCTGGCCACGGCTTTCACAGCATCTGCGCTGTTATGTCCGTGTGCCTGCCCTTCTAACGAGTGGCCGCTGCCTCGCCAGGGCCAGCACAGGGCCTGCACACACGGGCATCAAAAGCCTGCTGAGTGATGAGGAACAGGACCTTTCCCTGATGCATCACTGGCCCTTCACTCCGGGAATTCTCATCAGAACAAAGGCACACACGCAACTTCCTTCTCAGGGCAAAGAGCCCAGAGCACAGATGCGGTGGGTTCCCTTGAAAGCATCTATTTTGCTCTGAGAGTTGGGATATGCCAGAGGGAGGCTAACACCACTCAGAGGGTGAGAGGGATGACAGAAACCCTGGGAAACACTGGGCTACTGTTAGTACTTGAAGCTCTGGGCATTCCCTATTAGTTTTAAATTTTTACTTAGAAAATGTTTTAATTTTGCTGTGCTTCAATATTAAGATCATTGGTCAAAAAAGACCCTGGTGAAGAACCACATTGGAGGGATCACAATCCAGGTATCAAGCTGTACCACAAAGCCACAGCTCTCAAAACTGCCTGGTACTGGCACAAGAACATACATATAGACCAATGAAACCGAACAGAGAACCCAGAAATCGACCCAAGCCATTATGCTCAATTAATATTTGACAAAGGAGGCAAAAGCATACAATGGAGTCAAGACAGTCTCTTCAATAAATGGTGCTGGGAAATTTGGTCAGATACATGCAAAAAAATGAAACTAGACCACCAACTTACACCATACACAAAAATAAACTCAACATGGATAAAGGACTTAAACTAAGACAGGAAACCTAAAAATCTTAGAAGAATCCACAGGCAGCAAAATAGCAGACATTTGTTGTAGCAATATCTTTACCGATACAGCTCCCAAGACAAGGTAAACTAAGGAGAAAATAAACAAATGGGACTACATCAAAATAAAAAGCTTCTGTACAGCGAAAGAAACCATCAGCAAAACAATAAGAGAGCATACGTTCTGCATGGGAAAACATATTTGCCAATGTTATCTTTGATAAGGGTTTAATCTCCAACATTTACAGGGAACTCATACAACTTAACAAAAGGAAGATAAACAATCCAATCAAAAAATTAGCAAAGGACGTAAGTAGCTACTTTTCGAAAAAAGACATACAGTATGAAGGCCGAGAGACACATGAAAACATGCTCAAAGTCAGTAATCATCCGAGAGATGCAAATCAAAACTACAATGAGGTACCATCTCACACCTGTCAGAATGGCTATCATCAACAAATCAACAAACGACAAGTGCTGGCAAGGATGAGGAGAAAAAGGAACACTCCTGCACTGCTGGTGGGAATGCAGACTGGTGCAGCCACTGTGGAGAACAGTATGGCGTTTCCTCAAAAAACTAAAAATGGAACTCCCATTTGACCCAGTGATCCCACTTCTAGGAATATATCCCAAGAAACTAGAAACACCAATCAGAAAGGACATATGCACCCCTATGTTCATAGCAGCACAATTCACCATAGCTAAGATCTGGAAACAGCCTACGTGCCCATCAGCAGATGAGTGGATTAGAAAACTGTGGTACATCTACATGATGGAATACTATGCTGCTGTAAAAAAGAAGAAACTCCTACCATTCGCAAACAGCATGGATGGAACTGGAGAGCATTATGCTAAGTGAAATAAGCCAGTTGGAGAAAGATACATATCACATGATCTCACTCATTTGTGGACTATAATGAACAACATAAACTAATGAACAAGAATAGAACCAGAGACAGAGAAGCATGGAACAGACTGTCCAACCTCAGAGGGAAGGCGGGGGCGGGGGGGGGGGTAGTGTGAGGGCATGAGCTGGGGAGAGACGGGGCGAAGTCAATGGGGGAAAAAGGAGACTTATGTAAAACTTTAAACAATAAAGAATTAAAGAAAAAAGACCATGTTGAGGTTTCTGTATAAGATATAGATTGTGATTCTTTCAACTTCTCGCTGGTTTAACAAACCCCAATTTAGTGTTTTACATTAAGAATTCAATAAAAATGTCAAAACATGACTGTGCACCTAGTGACCACAATCCCGAAGCCCTGGGGCGGAGGGAGCCTGCGGGAAGCCCGGGGCGTCTGGTCCGCGGCAGGAAGGGCGGGAACCAGTGTCTGCAGGGCCACGAGCGAGCGACGGGGGAGCCCAGTGGCCGCAGGAGGCTGAGCAAACGGCCTTCACCACACAAGGAGCGACCTGCTCCAACTGAACAGCTTTAAATGTGGGCCTGAGGCAGCGCAGTCCGGGTCTCTTGGCGTCAGCGGCCCCCGGGTGGCTGGCCTGGGCCGCGGCCTGTGCGGGTGGCGTGGGCACTCACGTTCCCGTTCACGCGCGAAGCAGCCACTGGCCAAGGACGGCCTTCCCCGAATCAGAAGCTACAAGGGCCATCCCCGCACAGCACCCAGGAGCCGCCAAAGGTGAAGTGAACTCCGGGGACGGAGCTGCAATGAAATCAGCCAGGGGTCCCCCTGGGCAGCCCCTTTCGGAGGAAGCCGCTCCAGCATCCCGGCGCTTTCATTCCCATAAACCATCTCTTCCTTCGGACACTGTCCCCTCCCTGCTGAGGCGCTGCCCTTGGGCGGAGCCGTCCCTCCCTGCAGCCCTGAGCTGGGGTCTGCGAGAAGGACAGGAAGGAGACCCAGGCCAGAGGGAAAACGAAAGGCTGGCACCAAACTGAGCCCTTGAGAGAGGCGCCTGGCTGGCAGGATCCGCCCGGCACCCAGCCCAGCGGGAGCGCATGTGCACATGGTCCTTCAAAACAGCTGCGGGGCGAATGATGAATCTTCTCTTGCTTTTGGGGCAAAAGGGTGTGTTCCTGAGCCTGTCCCCAGCCTTCTCCGAGTTGACCAAAGGGCGCATGTCTGTCCTACCAGGGACGCCGTACAGGCAGGGACGAGCCAGCCCCTCGAACCCCGGGGAGCGGCGGGACACACCAGGCGGCCGGCCGGCCCTGCAGGAACCCGGTGCACCTCTAACCCCTCCCGCCGCCTCCCACACTAACGTCAGAGTCTCAGGGTTTCCACGGGGAAGCGGAGCTGGAGCCGGCTCCTCTCCCCTCCTCTCCTCGCCTCCTGGGCGGTTCCCAGGCCCGCAGCCCCCGCCTGCTCTACCAGCCCCTCAGGTGCCTCCAGTCCCGCCTCCCTCTCATCCCGTCGGGAGCGCTTTCTAAGAAGCAAACTGGATAGAGGTCCTCCCTACTCACCACTCCTCAAAGGCTTCCCATTCTGTTTAAAAAATAAAAAGCACAATAAAGTCTTACCCCCTGGTCCGGGGGCTCAGTGGTTGGAGGTCTTCCCCAGCACCAAAAGGTTGCAGGTTTGACCCTGATCAGGGCACGTGCCTCGGTGGCGGTCTGATGCCTGGTCGGGTGCGCACAGGAGGCAATCTCTCTCTCTCCCAGCCCTCTCTAAACTCAAACATATATCCTTGGGTGAGGGTTTTTCAAAAAGGCCTCACCTCCTCCCAGCCCCTGCCTGAGTGGACCCTTGCCACCTCTTGCACTCCAGTTCCTGTCACTTCCAACACCACCAGGAGCCACGCTGGCCGGCAATTAATCCGACAAGACTCCCCCGTGACCACATCCTGGAGGGCGTGTGGGTTTCTTAACTGTCCTGGTACGAGTTTATCCCGACAGCTGCCGGGGCTGCCATGGCACCGTATAGTCGTCCGTAGCACGCTTGGCAGCGCCCCGGCCTGTCCCGAGGTGACGGCAGCTCTAGAAGGACCCAGGCTATCTGCTCACCCCTGCGCTTGCCGGCACGGGCAGCAGGCTGGGCCTGGGGGCCCCGGACTGCACGGGGTGTGCAGGGGCTGCACGGGGGCCCACGTGGGGAGCAGGGCTGCACGGGGTGAGCAGGGGCTGCACGGGGCCCGCGGGGTGTGCAGGGCTGCACGGGGTGAGCAGGGGCTGCACGGGGCCCGCAGGGTGAGCAGGGGCTGCACGGGGTGAGCAGGGGCTGCACGGGGCCCGCAGGGTGAGCAGGGGCTGCACGGGGTGAGCAGGGGCTGCACGGGGCCCACGTGGGGAGCAGGGCTGCACGGGGTGTGCAGGGCTGCACGGGGCCCACGGGGTGTGCAGGGGCAGCAGGGGCACAGGCGCGGCCGCGGGCCACTTACTTGCCGACAGGCCGCTGCTGGCGCTCATGGAGCGGCCGGGCTCGGGGCGGGACTTGGTGATGGAGGGAATACTGACTGAGCCGCTGAACACGGTCCGGCTTTCCTGAGGCCGAGGGTTCTAAACAAAAGAGAAAGAAAAGTTCTTCAGCCAGAGAGAAGCCCACTTTCTGCAGAACGTCTGCCTGTCACTACAATGTCCAGACATGAAATGATCCTGACCAGCTGCAGACCCTCTGCCCACGGAGACTAACCCAGCCCGGCTGCCGCGGGGGTGCGCACTGCCTAGGGGACACTCATGACAAATAGGTGGCTTCTGCCGCTGGGAGAGCAGCGGCGGCTCCACGGTTAGAAGCGGCCGAATTACATGGACATTGCAGGCAGGTGGACAAGGCGTCCACTGCGCACGCGGCCCGTATCAACAGCTGAATAAGCCCATCCGGAGGAAAATCAGTTAGCAGATTCTTTTGGGCAAATGTTTCTCTGGGGCGACACCAAACTGCCATTTGCCTCTGCACGTCCCGTCCTGTCCTGGCATCTCAGCCCCACATCCGAGCAGCACCGGGTCGTGAACGGCGCTCGCAATCACCACAGCCCCGGTGGAGGGACTGAGCCAGGGAATGCTGGTTTGAGAAGTTTTCCATCTGATTAGTGAATGATTTTGGTGTCCAAGGTAGGAAAAGGGAGTGATGGAGTCACACACACCAGAGAGGGGGTGGCCTCCTTGGGGACCCAACCTTTTCAGCCCAGAAGGGGCGTCAGGCTGACACCGACAGGCGGTTGGAAAGAACAAGTACCGCAGCCCGGGGCTCCCCTGCGGCCTGGGGAACCGGAACCGACACTGCAAAACCACACTCACTGGAAGGTGGCGGGCAGCTGGCCCCAAAGTCACCCCAGCCACTTTGGTCCATATATCAAAGTTGCAAAGTCCATGTAATTCTTAGTGTTATTTGTCTAAAGCAAATGCTTTACCTTCTTTCTCTAAGAAATGAAAGAATTCTGAACGTTAACAGTCAGTGCTGATGTTTCACCATTCACCACCCAGGAGCAGCCCTCTGGCGCGGGAAGGGAAGGAGAAGAGGTGGGACGCCCGCCTCCGCCTCCACCCTCACTTTCCTGGCCTCTGCTACCAACCTGGTGGTGCCTTTTCTATAAACAAACCGCCCTGGAATCCATGGCAGACATTAAGCCCATGGAAGTGCGCTGGTGCTGTAGTAACACTGGATGTTGAAATAATAAAGGGATGATACACAGAAGATACGTTTTGTTAAAAAAGCAACACCAGCCCAACAGTTTCTCATCCATCAGCTAGAGGTCGGCTTCATTATAGAGTGATACGAAGCCGAACCCACTGGCACTTTAAGGCTTGGTGAGCGTTCCAGGCAGCAATGTTTCTATTTATAAATGACCAACTTAAGCAATATTCCCGCCATCTTTTATATGAGAAATTGACTGATTTATACAACATTCTCCTAGAACCCATTCCCTGCATCTGTTTCCACACTAAGGTTTACTTTATCATAAGTCATCTTATTTTAAATAAGAGACTTAAATGACATAGTTTAAGGTCAAGAACAATGACATTTCACCCTGACAGGTTTGGCTCAGTGGATAGAGCGTCAGCCTGTGGACTGAAGGGTCCCGGGTTCGATTCCGGTCAAGGGCATGTACCTGGGTTGCGGGCACATCCCCAGTGGGGGTTGTGCAGGAGGCAGCTGATCGATGTTTCTCACTCACTGATGTTTCTAACTCTCTATTTCTCTCACTTCCTCTCTGTAAAAAAATCAATAAAAAAAATGTAAAAAAAGAACAATGACATTTATTTATAATACAGATGAAAAGTAGGAAAATGAACTTCTCACCCCATAGCTAGTTTTCCTATTGGAAAATTAACTTCCTATGCATACAAATAACAAGTTAATGCTATGATTTACCTAAGCCAGAGGGCACTACAGAAAATGGGTCTGCATGATATGATCCAAATATTTTATCTGTAAAACTAACTTGAGAGCCTTAGCCAGTTTGGCTCAGTGGATAGGACATTGGCCTGTGGACTGAAGGGTCCCAGGTTCGATTCTGGTTAAGGGCACGTACCTTGCTTACAGGTTCCCCACCCTGGTCAGGGTGCATGCAGGAGGCAACCAATCGATGTGTCTCTTTCACATCGATGTTTCTCTCTTTCTCTCTCCCTTCCACTCTCTAAAAATCAATGGAAAATATCCTTGGGTGAGAGTTAATCAAAAAACCCACAAGAAACACAAAAACTAACTTGAGAAACGCCCCCTGCAGCTGTGGTACAGCATGGACTTCTTGGTGGGCATGTGGGTATCCAGCGTCAGTGCCGCCTGCCCTCCACTGTGAAGCCACCGGTAGCAAGACCGAGGCCCAGTGGCTGGCCAGCCGGACAGCAGGGCACGGTCAGCCTTCAGAGGCTGCACAGCTGGTGTTTCTTCTCTGATTTAGCGCTTATCCGGGATCCCGGCTGGAGTTAAAGGCACGCCAGCAACTTGAAGATTAGCAAGACCACCTTTTCCTTGTGGTTTTCCCTGTGGTTCATGAATACTGCTTGGAGATTTTTAAGCCGGAGGGAATTATTGTAGAGAGGAGGCCTGAGGATAGGCCCTACCACAGACTTTAATACAAAACACTTCTCCGAATGAGCTACGAAAAATTCCGAAATCCTGGGACCCCTCTTTTGTTTTTAACAGAGTAAGGACCCACTTGGGGGCTATTTCTTATCATGGTATCTGTAATGGAAAATACCACGATGGGAAATGTGTTATTAAACATACAAAAACCTCTAATAGTTTCAAAAATAAAATTGACATCCTCCCTGTCCTCATCTTTCTCTTTAAAAGAAGAAACAAAGTGGAACTTGAAGACAAGGAGGAGGAGGAGGAGGAGAAAGAGGAGGGTGAGGGTGAGGTGTGAATGGCCGCCAGGGCGGCGCTCAGGAGCAGGCAGAGGAGAGCCCACAGGTTAGTGAGTTAACACCCGACTCAGCAGCTTGTTCGTACCCTCAGAGCCATAAAGCTGGGTGTACCGGGGACAGAGCGCAGAGACGGGGAATGCGCAGCGTTTACGGAATCAGGAAAGAGAAACTTTTCAGCAGAATTAACGGTCATGTGATAGATGTGCTCAAAGTTGATCGGAGAGGAGATCAGACCGGAGTGATGATGAGGGGATGGATAGGGGAAGCCTGGCTACCAAAACAGAGAGGAGAAAACGGTGATAAGGTGATGAAATGGAGCCACTGGTTACATGTGACATTTCAGAAAACGTGCATGTAGGAAAAATGAAGCAAGTGCCTCGCATAGAAATGAATCTTTAGTGAAACATTTCTAGGCCGTGGAGTTACATTTTGTAATTATCTTGCACCAGGTATTAAATTGCTGATTTGCAAACGAACCCTCCACCTTATGAAAGAAACTGTTCTCTTCTATTGCTATCGCTACGTCGAGTGAACACTGGACTTCCAGTCACAGGGCACTGTCAGAAGTCACGCCCGCATTTTCTTACGTGGCCAAACCTACCAAAAACATTAGGATAGAAAAAGCAAGAAACAACAAAAGAACGAGTGAACCGACAACCAGCCTCTGACCATAGTATTATGAAACGGTCTCTTTTCTTTTTTTGTTTTAAAAGTTGAATTTATTGGGGTGATGATGGTTTGCAAAACCATACAGGTTTCAAGTGTACAACGCAATGAAACAAACATCATTCCACAGTTACTACTTTATTAAAGGAAAATAAGATCAGTAATAGCAAACTCATATCACAAACCTAAAAAGATCAGGAAACATGTCTTTAGAAACCCAAAACCATTTCCTGGTCATTCTAGATTTGTGGCATGAGTTTGCTTTTACTGATCTTATTGTCTTATTATAAAAAGAGTAACTGTGGGATATACTAATTATTGGTTTATCCTTAAGTAGCCCAAGCTTATCTCCATTTACATACCCAGAAGAATGGGTTTAACAAGGGAAAAATCGTCCCTTAAACGTTCAGGTGTGTTAACAGAAATAATGTAAAGCTGAAGGTACAGAAACACGCGCTGGAAGTCCAGGACCCTAGTTTTCAGATAAAATAACTTCTGAATATTCGGGGCCTGTTACTCAGTACCTAGTCACCTATCGAACTGAATTGTCAAGATTCAGTTCTTGTACTACTGTTTCCAGAAACATCCTACAATCCCTTAACTTTAGGCAAAGGCTGGATGACTTGCTGCAGAGAACACTGATGGGAACTGAGATAAGCTTCCGTTGTTTAAAAAGAATCTGATGAATTATGTGGGCTTAAAAGAAAGGCTCCTACATAGGACATTGTTTTAAATTTAGAAATGGGAGTGAAATCAATACTTTCTCAGGTTACTTCCAAAAAGAAAACAACAACAACTATTGATATAAATGTAACTTTGATTTTAAGAGGCAAAATTACTTCTTAAAGCTCTCAGAGGTCACTGAGCTAAAAATTTTATTTACTAGTAACTTTAGAAATGGGTAAAAGGCTAAGAAAAATACAGCTAGTAGAGGTAAAATTATTCTTGTATTCAATTGGAGACAAATTTGTTGTTTATTACCAGTATCCACTGATGAAAAAAGGTAATTGACAAAAAAGATTCAAGAAACCGAACACAGCAGGTACTTCTCAGGCACATATGCTATGTTATATCAGCTGCCTGTATTCTCCGGGCTCAGAAGGAACATGTGAAAGGTTCACATCTGATACAGGAGGTGAAAGAAAAATAAATGACTCTCTCACCCTTACTACCTCTTCCACATCCATAAGGCAAACAGCCCCTTTTCAGTATCACTTTGTTACAAAAGAAGCAGAATTAACCTGCCAAAGACATCCAATAAACTCCCTAAGCATGTACGCACTTCACAGGGAAGCAATACTGACTTGAATAAGAAAAACGTAAAAATGTCTGGGTACATGCTCTTTGCTCGGATGACAATGTGTAGCTGTGGTATTTAAAAACTCTTCTTATATATGTTAACGTTAGATTAATTTAATTCAACTTTATGTTTGGAAATAGTTCATTAATATAGGTATTAATGAACTCCCATTTCAGTAGAAAGAACATACTAAATTCTGAGAATAATAAAGTATACAAGCTTCTCAATAAGTAGGGATACAGGCATTCATATTGTTATGTTTCCCACACATGCATATTCTTGTTTTGTTTACCAATGTCTACCCCAAGACAAGCGTGTTCTGGGTAGACAGTATATCCAGAAATATTTGCTTGTGTGAAATGGACGCCTATGAAAAGCCCAGCTTGAATGTCCTCTGCTAGTGAAATGAAGAAAGTCAGGTGAAAATAAAGTAAGACCTGACTGTAAAAACAGGAATTCACACACACACAACCTTTAATGAATACTGCACATACAGGTGAGCAGGTTTCAAAAATGTGCACCAGCTTCTTGTCCTAGAAACACAACAGTGCTACGCGGTAGGAAGGCATGAGAGGAATGGAGGGACAGGAAAAACTGCCGGGGGAAAGTCACTCGTGTTAGTGACATAAAGAATCCGCGAGGTGGTCACGGGTTAGTGAACTCAGTGACCACAAACACTGAAAATCACGTGGGCTGCGGGAGCGGGCAGCCAGCACAGAAGGCACGTGTCATGACGTCACGTGGGGACGAACCTTTGGGAAATGCTCTCTGAACTTGATTTGCCTGGACTTTACTTGGAACAAAAAATAAAACAGAGACTTCTTTTCAGTGGGAAAGGGAGAGAAAGGGGGATGCTCTGATAGAGAAGTTCTTACGATGTTCGCAACCTGACACTTATTGTCAGTGGGCTAATTCAGGTCTTCATACTGTGTATGAAGTCAAAGAACTCTGGAACATCAGCAAATTGATTTTTCACTTCTTGGTAGAAAAATACCAAACAGAAACATTTTATTAAATCCTAAAACTATTTCACCTTAAAGAAGATACTGTAATATGTGGGATATAATAGACTTTATTAAAAGATTTTCTTCTTGCTATGTTGTTGGAACCCTAGCTAATAAAAGAGTATTATGCAAATTAACCATCACTCCATCACAAAGATGGTGACGGCCACAGAGTTGGAGCAAGCAGGAGGCTTGGGTTGCCCCCGGCGATGGAGGAAGCCAAGCTTCCCGCCTGCTCTGGCCAGCCCTGGGCTCTGGTCAAGGCAACAAAGTTTCTATTATAGAAGATAAATAAATCCCAGATACCTGCTTCCAGCCCGCGGCCGTGGCCAGCCTGAAAACCGCCCCCAGCCCCTCACCCAGGCACCCCAGTAGGGACCCCCACCCTGAAGGGGGTGTGGCCAGCCTGCAAACAGCCCTCAGCCCCTCACCCAGGCTGGCCACACTCCTATGGGGTGAGGGTCCCCACTGGGGGGCTTGACCAGCCTGCAAACAGCCATCAGCCCCTCACCCAGGCTGGCCAGGCACCCCAGTGGGGACCCCCACCCTAAAGGGGGTGTGGGCAGCCTGAAAATGGCCCTCAGCCCCTCACCCAGGCTGGCCACACCCCGATGGGGTGAGGGTGCCCAATGGGGGGCTTGACCAGCCTGCAAACAGCCATCAGCCCCTCACCCAGGCTGGCCAGGCACCCCAGTGGGGACCCCCACCCTGATCTGGGACACCCTTTAGGGCAAACCAGCCAGCCCCCACCTGTGCACCAGGCCTCTATCCTATATAATAAAAGAGTAATATGCAAATTGACCCTAACAGCAGAACTGGGAATGACTGGTCACTATGACACACACTGACCACCAGGGGGCACACACTCAATGCCCCCTGGTGGTCAGTGCGCTCCCACAGGGGGAGCTCTGCTCAGCCACAAGCCAGGCTGATGGTTGCCAGCACAGCGGTGTTGGTGGGAGCTTCTCTAGCCTCCTCAGCAGCGCTAAGGATGTCTGACTGCAGCTTAGGCCTGCTCCTCGCTGGCAAGTGGACATCCCCAAGGGCTCCTGGGCTGCCAGAGGGATGTTTGACTGCTAGCTTAGGCCCGATCCCCCCCCAGGGAGCGGGCCTAAGCCAGCAGGTGGACATCCCCCAAGGGGTCCCAGACTGCGAGAGGGCACAGGCTGGGCTGAGGGACCCCCCTGAGTGCACAAATTTTTGTGCACCAGACCTCTAGTACATGATATAAAAACTGTATTCTTTTTTGTGCACTACAATGAAGTAAAAGTGAAAGAACATTTAATTTTAAAAGAACAATACCCATTAAAGCCTTGTTAACTGCTGAAATAATTTTGTATTTGCTTTGCATCATATATGTATATGTTCAAAATTTATATCCTTTTATCTCTCCATAATGCTAACTATATATCAGGTGTTGAAAAACTATTTACTATCTACATTTCAAAAAGTTTCATTAAAATAGTATATAACACTTCATCAATCATACAGAAGCTATAAATATATTCACATTTCAACTGTATCATAATTTAAAAATTCTCTTAAGGTACTTTGTACGTGGCAAGGTAACTTCCATAGGGAAAACGACAGAGGCTTTGTGCTGTATGGCTGATAAATTTCCTTCTGGGAATAAAGGGAAACCAGACAGGCCTTTAAGCAAATGTTCAGGATGGGAAAAGGAGAGAATCTGAAATCTCAGTCCCAGGCAAAAGCTGAAAAAATAGTATAGCATTTAAATATAACAGTTTAATATGTAGACTCAGCCTCTATTTATGCCCAATATTTATGTTCAGCCTTACATTTTCTATTTTTAATTACTATGTCAAGATTAGCTGCACTCTTTTTGTAGTTTATTTACATTAACCAGCACAGCTAATGAAAGCCCCATTCCAAAAGGATAAATGACTATTATGAATGATTTGCATGCAAAGGAAGGAATATTAGTGTAACCGCATAATGTCTTATGAGAATGTCACTTTCATTCATAAGCAGACCACCTGGTTAATTGGGATATTTACAATGAGGAACTTGGACTCAAATGAATGCACATTTTTTGTTCCTCCCATGAAATAAATGCAAAACTACCTATAAAGCCTTCATTTTTTATTTTTAAAAAACCTGACTGCACATTAAATTATATTACCTATCATTTTCCCGGCAGTGACGTTCACATCTGCTATGACCATCGAGTTAGTAATGTGGATAGTTAAGATTTCCTTAGCAAGAGCTGTGGGTCACAGTTCACAAATCGTCTCCCAAATTGCCACAGTCTATAAATTATGCTTAAAATTCTGTGCCAGATCTAGATGCTATCACCACTGACAACAGGTCATGCTAAAGTTTCAATAGTGTGCAGAGAGCACTCGGAGACTGGAATGTTAAGTGTAAGTGGAGCGCACTAATAGACTTAATTTCAACACAATAGGTCCAAGAATCCAATCTTAATGCTGTTAAAAAAAATCGTTTTCCCATGTGGCACTTTTTAAAATTTCACCATCAGATGACAGGTGTGACCTTTAAAGACCAAGCCCGTGTGGTCCTCGGGGTGGGGAGAGCCAGCATCTGCACCAAATCGCTAAAACATAATGAAGTCTGAGTGATTTGGTCACCAAGTTCTGAATCCTGGTAGGAACCTCTTCAAAGCGGGAGCTTATTTTACCAACGAAGGAAATCTAGGTGTGGGACAAGTTTATAGCTTATGCAACTACACAGAAACTTGATGTCTCTGGTGTTTGACAGATGGCTAAATTTTATATTTTTCTCATCGGGTATGCTGTCATGCATCTCACATATACTGAGACACATTGTGATAAACATTTCCTCATTATCCTAATATATGCTGCCAGGAACCAATTCCAGCAGGTCATAATTTCAAGAGTTTCATCAAAAGGTTGATGAGACTTGGGGACTCAACAGGGTTGAGTCACACATGTAGTCACCTGTTGGGAATGGCTAAAGGCATTTCCCCAAACCTGAATAGGAAACTGATTGTGGCTGCCAGACAGTTAAAGGGCATCGTAATCTACATGTTATTGCCTCCTATTGGCCAAACACCTGAACAGCTGTAGGCTAATTCCCCCATTCTGACAATGGACTCTACCAAACCCTGACCCTCTGAAGTGCCTATCTCTGCCTCGCCTCAGGACAAGGCCTTAGATCAGCCGTGGGCAAACTACGGCCCGCGGGCCGGATCCGGCCCGTTTGAAATGAATAAAACTAAAAAAAAAAAAAAGACCGTACCCTTTTATGTAATGATGTTTGTCTTTCGTCTCCGGACTCTTTACACAAACACTCCTTCCATGCTTTTGTTCCGGCCCTCCGGTCCAGTTTAAGAACCCATTGTGGCCCTTGAGTCAAAAAGTTTGCCCACCCCTGTCTTAGACTTAAGATCTTAGAACTTAGCGCCTTTAGCTAACTAAGCTCCTCTGACCCCAATGCCTTTCAAAATGTTTTTCGTTTCGGGACTCTTTATTAGTCTCTGGACTTTTATTTAACATCTACGCACGGCCGCTTCTCAGATTCCTGACCCCTTCTTGAATGCTGGGACAAAAAGCCCGGCATATAT